GGCGGCGGCGGCGAGGCCGGCCCCCGCCCGCCCAGCTCCGAGGCCGGTCCTCTCCCCCCCCCTTTGCCAGGCTCGGCAGCAGCGGCGAGGCCGATTCCCCCCCCGCACCCGGCTCCGAGGAGGAGGCGGCGGCGGCGGAGCGGCAGCGGCGAGGCCAGCTACAGAGCGTTCCCTGCGCATGCGCAGGGGACGCTCTGTCACTTTCGGGGGGATTTAAACATCCCCTCGAAATTTTTTCCAACTTTTTTGATTTTTGTGCACACGTGGGGACTGGCCCACGTGTGCACAAACCTCCCCCCCCCAAGTGCCCCCGGAGCGCTGATTTAGCGATCCGCACTCAGGGGGCAACTTGGCTATTAGATATATAGATACTCTTTGTTTTACCTTAATACTATGATACGCCTGTGGGTCGAATCCAGCAGCAACAGCAAGCCTTCGAAGGTTCTCCTGAACCACAACTGGTGGGTCACGCCTCTTGGAACTACTGAAGAGATTGAGGGAGCTCAGCGTTGGGATATATGAGATGCCCCCTGTCCTTGTTGTGAACCCGTGCAGGAAGAGATGATCTGGGGAAAAGGTTTTTTAAAAAGCGTTCATGTACTGGCCTGATATTACTATCAGCGTAAGTTAAAAAAACCAAAAACACTCTTGCAGAACTCCTGTTTATGAGTTCAGGACCTCATCCAGCACTCACCATTGTTTGGTCCAGAAATGACTGGCTTTGTTTGTCCCAGAAAGAAGAAAATGTAATATGACCCCAATTTTGGACCAAGAATCCTCTTATGACCCCTTTGGTACCTACGCTGTCGGAATGCATGCTGTTGTCCTTCTTGGCCATCTTTGATAGCATCTTTTCCCAAATATGCCAAATTCTATAGAGTTATCTCATAGCTAAATATGAGATATGCAACATAAGTGCAAATAAGCCAATCACCAGGTGTATATGAGATACCTCTGATAAAGCAAGAAGGCCAATCTCAACTTTTAGCAATTAGTCTTCTTCTGCAACTTCTTCTGCAAGATAAAGAACAAAGTTTGAGTCCAGCGGCACCTTTAAGACCAACAAAGCTTAATTCTGGGTATAAGCTTTTACACACATACTCTGGTGCTTACCTTTAAAGCCCTATATGAGAAAGAAAGAAAGAAAGAAAGAAAGAAAGAAAGAAAGAAAGAAAGAAAGAAAGAAAGAAAGAAAGAAACTTTGTTGGTCTTAAAGGTGCCCCTGGCCTCAAACTTTGTTCTATTGCTTCAGACCAACACAGCTACCCACCTGAATCCATCCAAGATAAAAGTGACTTGAAGAAAACAGAGACAGTTGAAAAATGTTTGCACTCTTGGCTAGTTTGCAAACACAGCAAAAAAAGCCTCGTGACCTCATCGCTCTTGCTCCAGCCACACACACACGCCCGTTTTTGCTTGGACTCGCTATTCTGGATCCCCTTTCCCCCTTCATCAAGACCTGCCAATCTCCAGCCACATTTAGGCAGGGCAACAGACTTCTGGGTGGCTGTGACGGGTATCAGCACTGCTTGTTGGATCCACACAATCTCTTTCTCCCTTTCAAGGTTCTTGGTTTAGGAAGCCCCGAATCAAACTCCAATTTGCGGTGAGATCCCCTTTCCTGGGGAGACTGTTTCCTCCCGTTTGCCTGGGCCCTTGCATTTGACAATGTGGCAAGCTGGTGCTGGATCCGCAGCATCCCCAAAGCAGGAAGCTTTCGATCATGCCAAGCATGGGCAGAGAGAGAGATTTGTGGCAATACCTAAATGTGGACTAAACGTTGTCAAACCAGCCACCTGAAGAAGAGGCTGGAGCACCAATAATGCTTTCCGTGTTACCTGGAATCAGCACAGATCTGAGAATCCTTAGTTCCCCCTTCAGAGCAGGAAGACTTTCCAGGTACATTTTGATCTCCCTTTGGATCCTTCCCACATCTTGGCCCGTAAGCGGTGGCAGAACTTCACTCAGAGATCCTGGCGGCTGCTCGAGGTCGCTGGCTTCCAAATCCACTTGCAAGTCATCAAACTCAAACTGATAAATGCCAGTGAAGAGCTGATCAACAAATGCTCTCATGAAGGCTTTTCGTCGCGGTGGCGAGAGCACCTGAACCTGGCTGATGTCTTTTTCGTCAAGCTTCTGTTTGACGGCGTACAAGGCAGCAACGGTACTGCGTGCGCACACGACCTCAAGGCTGCGCTCTGGGCAGTGGAGGCCTTGCACTGCTGCGTGCAACACCTCTTCTCCGTTCCTTTTGCTGGGGAGGCTTTGGCACCACATGACGCAAACCCACGGATCCTGGCTGCTGCTGGCCTTCCGAACCACTTCTAGGATCCTGGCCACAGATTCTGGGGCCCCGCCCTTCCAGGGGGCTGTGCCTTCACTCTTCAGGTCTATCAATACTGCCCTCGCCATGTCCTAAGAGGTGTGAAGATGCCCAAGTAGCCTTTACGTGGGGAAAAAGGAAAGAACAAGAATACGTCCTCTAAATACCATATGCATTTCAATTTTTTGCCATGTCAGGTATGCTAAAAGTATAATCCAGCAGCAGCAGGGTTACCCCGCTTAGACAAGGAAGAAGAATCAACAAGCACATCGCAGAAGGACCAGGCAGACTGATTTTATTAAATGGTGCTAAAAAGGTCGGGTTTTCTGAGCTCTTCCAGCAGGGGGAAACCTGAATCTGAGAGAAGCAGCAACTCCCAAAAACTGTTCCCATTACACACTCCAAAACTTCTGTGACTTTACAGGGGAGTTCTGCAATGTGTATCTGAAGCAGCCCAGACCGGCTTGCCTGTTTTGATGAGGATTTTTCCCGGTGCCTCAAGTGCTGGAGGGAGGGGGGCTCTCGGGTGCGCCTTTCAGAGCAGGAGGCCCCTTCCTTTTCAGCATCCTTGTCTACAATCCATCTGCCTGACAGGCAGCAACTGCTGGGATTTCCTTCAGTGCTGAAGTTACGGTGGTTTCACAGATATATTTTAATTAACAAGTAAACCGAAAAATGCAGTTGGACATTAATCAATACACAGTTTTCCCTGTTGAAATGTATGGAATGGGTCCTGTGACTCCCTCCTGCCAAGCCTTCCTCTAACACAGAAGGACCTCCTCCCTCAAGGCAGAATTTTTTCCTATCCAGGGGAAACCCACCACCCCCACCCCCACCACCCCC